TCGGAAGCTGATTGCAAGTGCTGCGAATGCCGCGAATGCCGCAATAGCCGCGAAGCAAATCACAAGAGTGAGGAAGAGATACAGCAGTGGGTCATCCGAGTCTAAGCTGGAGGCCCTGGACGGTTGGAGACTCCAAAAACTCTCCATGCTCTTAAGACTCTTGAGACTCTTGAGCCAAATTGTGTGGCATTTGATGAATTGGCAACATGTTTGGACTGTTTGGGCTTCAAGGAATTTTGCCTTGCAAAGCTGTGCTTTGATATCTTTGATGCATGTTTTGAGAGCTCCGGAATTATCAGAATTGTCGTGCCATGTCCCACATGTCCCGCCTGAGTTGACTAGCACACTGGATTCTGAAAAAATGACCTCCCAGCACTCCGGTTCTCGGGTGACATGCATTGACTCACACCGGGTGTGTAGGCATTGTGGCATTGTGTAGCTAAGATCGCAAGAATGCCCTTTTTGTGTAGTTTTAAGATGCAAGACCTCTATGAGTCACTTGCAAAACTCAGAGGCTCAAAGTGTGACGGCCTCGCGGGAAGGAGATCTATCCGGGCTGTTATTTCCCGAATGAGGCTCACCTGGCACCATTTCGTTTTGTTTCAAAACATCCGAGTCACAGAGAAACGAGCCAGGCTATGACATACCACAGTCAAACACACCACAATTTCATAAATGTTCATAGTGTGTCAGCTCTTGGCTGGAACATGAACAGTCATGAACATACCATCTGCATGGCCTATGTGGAGTTTCCGGTTCAATCCTAGCCAGGAATACTCTCAGGCGATGTTGGTGCTGCACCCACAGGCAGGGTCAACCTAATGGCTCGACGATCGAGCTTCGCCTAGCACAAAATGCAGTCCGCTTCAAGGCCCCCTCCAAGTTGCAGCTTCTATCCCAAGATTGTAGTATTATAATGTATTATAAAAGTACTGCCTAGATTCCGAATTGCAGACGCATTTAAGTAAAAACATTCGAGAAATTGCAGTTCGTGCTCAGGTCCGCCCATTTCCATGGTTAGTGTTTTCAACATGTTTCAACATGTTTCAACATGTTTCAACGATATCAGACGGGTTTGAGATGGTTTGAGTCGATTGGAGCAAACTGTGTAACGATTTAAATCTGCATCGGTGTCGTGGCTGTCCTCCGGGGAGATTCCTTCCTTGTCATCATCGCCAGGTAACGTGGACCTAAAAGCATCGCTTTGAGCGCTGTGAGTTGCTCCATTGGAGAAATGAAAAGTTTGAAAACTGTAAAGATTCCTAAAAGGCGAGACTGAGGCTGATTAGAACATATTAGAACATTTTGTTGATCAATCCAGAGAGTCTGACTCAAATTCGAGACCCTTTCGACCCTTTCGACCCTTTCGACCCTTTCGACCCTTTCGACCCTTTCGACCCGTCGACCCTTTCGACCCTTTCGACCCTTTGACCCTTTCGACCCTTTCCATTTTTCATAATGATCCATGTCGATAAAGAACGGTTTGTTCTGATCATTTTGTCATCTTAAGAAAGCCCAAGTATAATTCAAAATAACTCGTTTAGTTGGTATGCAACATATCGTGCCATTAATTTTGACTTGGTGCTGCCCGCAACGACATGTTCTGATCAGAAGCCGCTAACAGCCGCTAACAGCTAACACTCTCAACTGTCGACACTGTCGACACTGTCGACACTGTCTTTGTATCTGACATTGCTGAGGGAGATGGAGACATCGAGCTGACCTCAGCACAGAATCACTGAAACTTGGATCAAACGATCACATCAATTTTGAATTCAAAGTTGGGATCGGTTAGATGCCACCAGCCACATCCTTGTCACGAAGAAATTCAATGAAATTCAAGCATCAACGAAGGTCGACAAAAAAGCCAGGCTGATATCTGATTTTGAGCACCAGGAAAATCAGGAAACGCGCTAGAGAAAATTGCAGACTCAAAAAGAGCCATGACAAATGTGTTCGACAGTCAGAAAAGAAAGGCCGTTATGCATATCAGATCATTTCAGAACATCCGGGGAAATCTGGGGAACAGATTTGAAAGTTGGCCACCGGCCCAGTGAGACTCGCGCATCGTCAAGGTTGCGCTGCCCATCAGTGAAGTTGCTGCTGATGAATCGGCGAAGGCTTCTGCTCATCCTGTGGGAAGTTCACAGCTAATTTTCTATCCAATTTAGATCAACAGCAACTCGGCAGAGAATCAAGATGAAATTGTTGTGGCGCTATCCAATTGCGAGCCCTGGCCTTTTTCCCTCTCCGGTGCCATCGCTTCCGAAAAGCTGCTTGGCATTCACACGAACCTAGGCATCAATTTTGCGTTTATTTGGCACCAAGCTTTACATGCTTTACATATCTTGAAAGCGTGGTGCAAGCGCCACCTTGGGTGCGTTCTAGGGGATCAAAAAATGTCAAAAAATGACAAAAACATTCAAAATGTTTAAAGAAAAAAAAACGTATAAAAAAGTAAAGCCACTGCTTTTGCTGGGCTCTTCACTAGTTCTTCCATGTTGCCAAGCTTGTCCCGCACCTTCCTGACCAGCCCCTGCCAGGTACGCAGGGACAGGTGCGATCCAGCAAGCATGCGGCATTGATGACTCTATGGCATTTGTTCCTTAAGGGCTCAGAGCTTTTAAACCACTTTGCAAAACAAAGGATGGATATAGTTGGATACACTGGAAACAGCCCATGGACTTCAAAGGATTCAGAGAGCGAGCAAACGTGCATCATTTTGATTTTCGAAAAAGCAATCATTTGCAGGCACTTGCAGCCACTTGCCCAAGCAGCTACAAGTGGCTGCAGGCTGCAAATGGCTGCAAGTGGCTGCAAGTGGCTGCAAGTGGCTGCTTGTGGCGGCTTGTGGCTGCTTGTGGTTGCTTGTGACTCGTAGCCACTTGCCGGCAATCTTGAAAAAAAAGTGATTTTGTAGAGTTTACTTTTTTTCAAGATTGTCTGTAGTAGATTGCTAGCAGCCATCCACCAGCAGCTACTGCACGAAACATAGGTATAAAAATGTATAAAAGCTGTTTGTATTTGAGGGCCAGCGCTCACTTGCAGCCAGCGAACTTACGACTACCTGTCTAGTAATCCTTTTTGGTTCTTTAATGATGGTTTACCTTAGGTGATTAACAAGCGTGGTTTGTAAGTCGCCATTTCGCAGGTCATAACACCTTTGAGTGTGTTTATAACTGTGGTTAGTGACCATTTCATCATTGATGCAAAGGGTATTTTAACTGGTGGAGGATCGAATTCCATCCTCATACCTATGTCAAATTTTATAAACCAGGCCCTGCGAAGTTTCGAAGTCGACCATCAATGAATTGGTTAAAGGAAAAATATCCATCTTAACCAGTGTCCGGCAAGGACGAGAACTTGCAGCGTATCATCCAACATGTCTGAAGGTTGGGGACAAGACCTGACAGCGTAGCACCCAAGATGGTTGAAAGTTAAGGACAAGATCTTACACGGCACAATCCAATAAGATTGAAAGTTAAGGACAAGGCCTTTCAGCATAGCATCAAACATGTTTGAAAGTTTCGGACAGAATCTCACACCGTAACATCCAAGATGTTGTAAAGTTAAGAAGAGGATTTTACAGCGTAGCATCAAGCCTGTTTGGAACTTAACGACAAGACCTGACACCGTAGCATCAAAGGTGTTTGAAGATTAAGGGCAAGGTCTTACAGCGTGGCATCCAAGATGTGTGTAATTCAAGGACAAGGTCTTAGAGCATATCATCCAAGATGTTCAAAGTTTAGGACAAGCTCTTCGAGCGTAGCGTCCAAGATGATTGAATGTCAAGGGCACGATCTTACACCGTAGCACTCAAGATGATTGAATGTTAAGGACAAAGTCTTACTCCATAGCAACCAAAATCATACAAGATGCTTGAGAGTTCAGGACAAGATCTTCTTGGGTAGCATCCAGATCGTTCTTGTTCTTGTTGTTAATGTTGTTATTGTTGTTCTTGCTCTTGTTGCTTAATTGATTATCTTGTTTTGTTCTTGCTATTATTGTTGTTGTTTTTGTTGTTGTTGTTGCTGTTGTTGTTCTTGTTCTTGTTCTTGTTTTTGTCCTTCTTGTCCTTCTTGTCCTTCTTGTTGTTGTTGTTGTTGATGTGGTTCTTGTTCTTGAACTTGTTTTTGTGGTTGTGGTTTTTGCTCTTGTTCTGGTTCTTGTTCGTTAAGGACAAGAACTTACAGCGTATCTTCCAACATGTTTGGGGGTTAGGAACAAGACAGACAGAATCTTAGAGCGTAGCATCCAACAAGATTGAATGTTACGGACAAGATCTTACTTTGTAGCAACAAAGACTTGCAAGTTAAGGACAAAATCTTACACGGTAGCATCCCAGATGATTGCAAGATCCGGGTGTGATCTGACAGCGTAGCATCAAAGTTGTTTGAAAATCAAGGGCAAGATCTTACGGCGTAGCATCAAGGATGATCGAAAGTTAAGGACTTTTTGTTGTTGGTGTTGTGGTTCTTGTTCCTAGTTTTGTTCTTGTGGTTGTGTGTTTTCTTCTTGTTCTTGATCTTGTTCTGTTTCTTGTTCTTGTTCTTGTTGTGGTTCTTGTTCTGGTTCTTCATCTTGTTCTCCATCTTGTTCTCCTTGTTCTCATTGTTCTCCTTGTTCTCCTTGTTCTATTGGTTCTTCTTCTTCTTCTTCTTCTTCTTCTTGCTCTTCTTTGTTGTTGTTCTTGTTTAAAGTTGTTTTTGCAAGGTCTGTGTCGCATAGGCCGGGACTGTCTATCACACCGGGGGGGACATTATAGACAATATCTTTCAACCAAATAGAAAGGAAAATTGCCACTCGCTTAGTCAAATGCTACGTTTCAATCTTTTGGGGGGTTGCCATAACATCTGTCTTTGGTCTACGGAATTCGCTACGAATTGTCTCGCAATATGCCATCATTCCTTGGCACTTGGCAGCTCGCGCATTCAAATCTTGACAAAAAGTGACAAGTGCTAAACCATTGCTTTTTCAAGTTTTGAGACTTCGATGGAAAACAGCTGCTCGGACAAGCAGCCACGTAGCCACTTGCAACCACTTGCAACCACTTGCAACCACTTGCAACCACTTGCAGCCACTTGCAGCCACTTGCAGCCACTTGCCCAAGCAGCCTCAAGCAGCTACAAGCAGCCACTTGCAACCACTTGCCGCCACTTGCCCGAGCAGCCACTTGCAGCCACTTGCAGCCACTTGCAGCCACAAGCAGCCACTTGCAGCCACTTGCAGCCACAAGCAGCCACAAGCAGCCACAAGCCCACAAGCAAGCCACAAGCCAAGCAGCCACAAGCAGCAGCCACAAGCAGCCACAAGCCGCCACAAAGCCACAAGCCACAAGCAGCCACAAGCCGCCACAAGCAGCCACAAGCAAGCAGCCACAAGCAGCCACAAGCAGCCACAAGCAGCCACTTGCCGCCACTTGCCCAAGCAGCCACTTGCAGCCACTTGCAGCCACTTGCAGCCACTTGCCCCGCAGCCACAAGCAACCACTTGCAGCCCAAGCAGCCACTTGCAGCCACTTGCGGCCCAAGCATCCACTTGCAGCCACAAGCACAAAGCCAGCAGCCACTTGCAGCCACAAGCAGCCACGAGCAGCCACAGGCAGCCACAAGCAGGCGAGGCAGCCACAAGCAGCCACTTGCCGCCACTTGCCCAAGCAGCCACTTGCAGCCACAAGCAGCCACTTGCAGCCACTTGCAGCCACTTGCCCCGCAGCCACAAGCAACCACTTGCAGCCACAAGCAGCCACTTGCAGCCACTTGCAGCCACAAGCAGCCACTTGCAGCCACAAGCAGCCAAAAGCAGCCACTTGCCCCGCAGCCACCAGCAGTCACAAGCAGCCACGAGCAGCCACAGGCAGCCACAAGCAGGCGGGGCAGCCACAAGCAGGCGGGGCAGCCACAAGCAACCACAAGCAGCCACAAGCAGCCACAAGCCGCCACAAGCAGCCACAAGCAGCCACTTGCCGCCACTTGCCCAAGCAGCCACTTGCAGCCACAAGCAGCCACAAGCAGCCACAAGCAGCCACAAGCAGCCACAAGCAGCCACAAGCAGCCACAAGCAGCCACAAGCAGCCACAAGCCGCCACAAGCAGCCACAAGCAGCCACAAGCAGCCACAAGCAGCCACAAGCCGCCACAAGCAGCCTCTTGCAGCCACTTGCAGCCAGTTGCCGCCATTCTCAAGTGCGTGCTTGTTTTTCGAAAATCAAATTGCGCACCTCCTGCGCCCACAATGAAAGGATTGCTTACTTTGCACCACAAGCATTCCACAAGCTGCATCTCGAGTGAAGGCTTCACTTCGAACTCGCTTGCCGACGGCATTCTTATTGAATTAGTGTTTGACTATAGCCGCAAGATGACTGACTTTTCAATCAGTTGCCCTTGGCTTCAGGAAGGATCATCTTGATGTGTTTACTTTACTAGGCTCGACTGGATGTACTACCCTTGCTTGCAGAAGCAATGGATCTGGGACCTTTGCACAAACATTTCTCTCACTTCATTGACAACAAGTGTGGTCTCGACTGAAACTTGAACCGTTTCATCTACCAATGTGAGTGACTCAAATGAATGCAGGGCTGTGGGCCTCGGCCCGGTTCAGACGTTGCTCCATATGGCCACCCTCCATGTAGCCCCCTCGCTCATGAAGCAAAACCTCAGCAAAGTCAGCACAGTGATGCAGATGACAAGACATTGGATGGGCTAATGAGCATTTTGGAAAGCATGTTCCGCCCTATCTTTTACATAAATTTGCTCCAGCAGAATTCCATGCAAGACAAAGACGTTCAACATTTTTTGAGCTATGCACTCGCTGGTTCTGAATCAGCTTCAAAGTTCCTGTGAGGTCCTCGGGATCGGTCTGGGGTGCAATCCAGACGTTTGCAAAGTGCTTTCAGCCGCTTTCAGCTGTTCAGACTTAGTACTTAAAGACCGAGTACTGAATCTGCAACTTCACACTTGCCGGCACTTCCCCGCTGAATCATCTTGCTAACGTTATCCGGGTTTTCTCCACGACTTTTCAAGCCATCTTTTCAGGGACACCAAGGGTTCTCCCCTATGTACTGTGCACCTGCAACATCTCCTATTCATGACCTATTCACTGGCCACACTGAAGCAAGTTTAGACACTATTTAGTGACTGCTAGCGTCATCACTTTGCCCTGGAATGTCTCTTCTGCCCCTGCTCAGCTTGTTTTGATGAGCCCAAATAAGCCCAGACTGCATCACCAAGCTGGGAACTCTGTAAGCCTCCTCAATGCCAAAGGCATCCTCCTGCAAAAACAAAGCGGACAGAAAACAAGGGCATGCATTTACATATGCATATGTACATATATATATATACACTACATATGTATGTATATATATAGAGATATATATATATAATTATATATGTATACAGTCTATACATAAATGCTGCGTGATGTTGCTGCACACGAGAGGAAGAACCCCTGAAGGCTTCGGTCAAGATCAAAACAAATGTTGGAAAAGAAGCACCCTAGTGCT